AGACACACAAATCTACTGAAATGGGCATGTCATATGTACACGTAGGTACCTGTGTATCGCCACGGAGAACATTTTATACTATATGGCTCGTTTTCGCTATCCCGTGAACACGGTGGCTGCTCCTTCTCGTACGTCCTCTCGATGAATCCCTGGAGACATTCGTCTGTCGAACGTCCTGGATATACGAATTGTACGGGTATATCCTCAACCTGGCAGAGATGCACTTCACAGATACTTTATTAATAGCACTGTATTCCGCCACGGTTACACGTCGACTCCTTGAATTCGTTAACAGTCGAATTGTCCTTCACCTCGGTCGTCACGAGGTGGGTAATTGTTAGGTATCTCCACCCAGGTGACACGTAAAGCGTATAACTCTGGATTTTCTCGAACTAAATACGAATAAATCGAAATAAAAATTCTGGTATAGACGTTGCTTCATCGGTTCCCGCGGGCATAGGAACCGTTAATGACTGGTTATCCTGTTGTAGGGAAGTAGTTCCCTTTCTTAAATCAATCTTTGCCTCTAACCGACTCACTCCGATTTCTGGGCTCCTATTGACCGAGGCGGTGCACTTTCGTCGATCTGACCTGACTTAATGACCTCATCGGTCATCGACTCAATCAACTCATCCCGCATACCGGATATCGTTGTTTTTAGACGGGTCATTTCTTTTAGCGTCATGGTGGCGCTTTCCATATCGTACTCGGGATCGACCTGTTCGATATCCCTTTTCATCCCTTTTTTTAAAGGGACCCCGGGCTTCCCGCAGGGTACCGTTCCGCCCTCGCCTGGAGCTCCTCCTTACTCGTTTCTCGTCGGCCTTGCCATTACGGGATCTTCTTCAATTACTAGCTCAGCCAACCCCATTCGTGCGAAGTTCTGCTGAGCGGTACCGGGCGCTCTTCTGCCCGCTTGATTATCATCTCGGCTGCGGTTCCATCACGCAGCATCATTCATTCGCGGCGGATTATTGGGCCGGTCGCGATTCGGTTCCGAGTTACTTGGCCTTGGTAAATAAACGGTCCTTTCGCCATTTTGGCCATCTTGCGGACCCCGAGGACATTTTTCATTTCCCCGGTACGCGCGGTCATTGGGCCTGGGGCGGTTCAAGACGCCTCCATGGTCCTATCGGTCAAGCATGTCCAGCAGCGTTTCTGCTGAATCGATGTTCTGTGCAAGGACTGCGTCGTGAATCGCGTAGTTCAAATACCTTGCAACAGCACTAAGAATTTCACGGTCGAACCTACGCGGGGTCAGATCGGTCGCGTCCGCAATAAGTCGAGCTGCGTATTTGACTCGAGTCATCTGCGAATTCTCGTTGTAATACCCGAATTCTAATTCCCGATTAACTCCAATAAGGATTATTGTACAAGATTATTGATAATAACTCCTCGAATAAGGATGTNGACGTACTCAAGTTTCCCAGCGTTCCGCAGGTCGTAATCGTCCAAGGTTGACGGACCGGGCTGGTTGAGGCACCCCGTCTTTCGTATAGGACCTGCAGTAGGTTGATATTGCATCAACCAGTGACCTGCAGCGCACCGCGAGAAAAAAGGCGATTGAGGACCCCTGGCTTAGGGACCAGGGTTGAGATATTTTTACCCACGACCGGAAAGTGGGGACGACGCGACCATGGTGGGGACCAATAGTTGGTGGGGGTATGCAGTGATTTTCACGGTAGCGCTGCGGAGAGCTTCGCGAACGCGCATGAGCACGCATGAGGGGAATAGTAGTGGGGATCGAAATACGGGCGAAAAACAGGGGAAGCGAGCGTCGTGGGTAAAAATATCTCAACCCTGTTAGGGACACCGATAGTGGTGTCGTTTGCATTCCAGACTGATCGTTTGTCTTATTGCCGATCAGTCGGAGTTTTCGGCCTTACAACCCGAGCTCCCGTACAGCCCGTATACACTGTACGTGCAGTGCAGACAGCGTCTGGTTACAGCTGATCGGTGCACCGATACAGTGATAAACCAAATAAGTTACTGTCGTCCTCGTCTCATTTAATTCAAACTGAGACTTGAGAGTAAAAAGCCGAAGAATTCCTCTCGGCTACATACAGTCCACAAATTAGAAGAATTATTTCCTATCGTTACGAGTGGAATAAATAATACATCGTTTTCGGTGTTTGCGATTCTTTTTACAGAGATCGTCGCTAGGACACGCACGTGCGGCGACGACAAAGGCCAACCCGAGGCAAAAGAAATAAACTAAAGGCAAACAATAAACAACGTATACGTACGCGTACGACCGGTTATTTTATTTTCGTTTGTATCATTTGAGAACGCGGCCGTTTTCACGGTCGCGCAAATAAATTTTATTTTTCTAATTCTATACAGAATTACTCAGTGTCATTATTTTTGCGTACCCCGCTTCTCCTCGCTCTCCGGACTCCCGTTAGAGTATCCTCTAACAAAGGATTAGAATGAGGATGCCGCTTTGTTTTGCCTGCAAGAAGTAATTAAATTACAACACGAGAAAATGTTCAATAACATAATTAGCAAATCAGGTCCGTACGTAATAAGGAGAAAAAAACAAAAATGTTTACTCAAAACCAGCTGAGATAAGAAAATATGATTTTTTATTAAGATTCCGCAATTCTCGAGTCCGATCTGCACTGAACACATCCTTAGTTATTTGTTCCAGAATTCCAGTGTGTTTAATCCACTTTGTTAGGGATAGGTGGCCCT